CAAAAACTTATGTTGACGCTGTCGTCGCCGGAAAAGCAACACCTTAGTCTCGCTTCCACTTTGTGGCGGCGAGACAAAAACCACGACTTCTCCTACTCGTTAATGACCTAACAATAACAGCCTTCGCCATAACTTTACATGAACATTTATACAGGTATTAACCAAAGTTTTTTTAACATTCATGAGAGTATAAAACTAATGCATATTGATGTATCAAACCAATGTGCATTTGTACAAGCATGAACATGAAGAAACTCAATTTAATATGCATACAATATACTTACATTCCAAATTTATTGTTTCCCGTACAAATGGTCAACGTACATATGTATATTGAGTATTTTGTATTATTTTTGGTGTATGGAAATTTCTGTATTGTACGTGAAAATGACATTTCAGGATCAGCTCAACAACATCCACATGTCTACCGGTATGCTTCTAACGATAGTCTCCTGTTATGTGGGGTGGGAGAAGCATCAAAATAACACTGATTAATAATGGCATTCATCGCTGTATAGATGTAATTCTTCTGGTAAAGTGACTTAGTATGTAAATTACGTACAACTTGAATTATTAACACCAAAACTGCTCAATTATCTTAATTTCATGTAATTCTAACAGAAGTTCATATAAAATACTCATCTGATATAAAATATGCAGCACCAGTGTTGCGATGCTTAGTCAAGTTGTTTATCTTGAATACACTGTGCCTCCCTATACTGCCAACATTAATATTTTAGTGCTTTGAATATTGCTGTTACTTAATTATGCTAATGCGCTGAATGAAGTTTTTGCATGTGCATTACCGTCTTTTGCATACATTGTGGTTGCACCAGTTAATCAATATGCTTATCAGTTCAAATTTGAGGATAATGTGTTAATATTTGACAGTGCAGAAATAAGTGTGTTTACAGTATTCGTCGTGTAAATTTGGCATTATAAAGAGGTTAGGGGATACGTTTGAATACCGAGGGAGACATATGAAGGAAATGTTTAGAACAAATGAGAAGACAGTCGTGTTGACAGTCAGCGACGTTGCGAATGAAACATGAGGTGTTATATCAAGGTGTTACTGTATGTAACAGAAAAAAATCACAGATGATTGTTCTCACTCGTTTCCATTATCAAAAGTTTCACGTCCGTCTTCCTGACTAAAGGATTGGCCCTCAGTGCTGTTACCAGGTGTCTCCTGTGTAGACAGGTATCGTGAGTTTATCACTCTCAGCCGTCGGAACACTGGAATAAACAATAACACCATACTCACACAGGTCAATCTAGTGCTAACACGGTATACTCACAAAGGTCAATCTTGTCCCAAAACCATAAGATCAATCTAGCCCCCGCACGTCCAATACATATAATGTACTGGTTGATACAGAGTAATACATATAATGTACTGGTAGATAAAGAGTAATAGATTTAATGTCAAATCATAAATTTTCGTGGGACATTAATTTTGTTTATTTTGTGGATAACAAAAATTTACTAAAATAAATCCCCAAAAACATAAATTTGGTATGAAATTTTAACCCCACGAAAATAAATGATTCTACAGTAATCTCAATGTGTGGGAGTCTCAATCAAGTCCAGAACATCAATAGCTCCTCCACTGACCAATATGCTCATGTCTTCATATATGTGTTGTGAAATATATAACATTTTCCTTTATAAAAACAGATAAATTATCTTATGTGAAAAATTTAACTGGGCGAGGACAGCATGTTTTGTAACCTTCTGAATCCCCTGCAATTTCCCCCTATCACTTGAAAGCCGAAAGTTCAGTGACATTTGTTCAACCATTTCCTAATTTTTAATATAAAACAGTTGTAGAACAGTAAGTTTTAAGGTGGTTGATCAGGTACTTTACTCTTTGTAGCAATTCTCTCTCTAGATCTGCAGACCTTAGATGACCTAAGCTGTTAAAAGGACGTTAAACAAAATAAGACCAACACCATTCTTTCTCTGGAGAAGGCATACTACATCAACATTTCTGGAGATCTCAGTGATTGGCATTGTATGGTGTTATATTCACATTGTGACGTTGTCAAAATTATTAGTGACTTTTTACCTTCCTTAACGGGGGACTGTGCCTTCTACATTTGGAAAATATTGTAGTGTTGTAATAAAATTGGTAGAATATAATGCATATTTTCACACAACATGACAATCAGAATGTTTGTTTTATTGTACTACATTTGATAAAAAGCTCAAACTTGTTTGTTAGTGAATAAATAAATACATCACAGACATTTTTAACTGTTTATTGATAACGACATTGTGTTAGATATCACTGTGATACACCGGAGAAAAACTTTAAACACATCAGTGTTTCCTGGGCTGTGTTTGATTTTAATATGATATGATGGCAGATCTAGAGATGCAAACATCCTGGATGGCTTTGATTTGGATTCTCCTGTTTGTTTTCGACATATGCCATCTTTCACATTTCATATTTTGTCTATTCCAGATACAGCACGGAAATAGACTAGTGATTAAAGTCTGCAGATACAGTGTGTATAATCATTTGACAGAACAGAAAACAACCAAAATTTTCAATTTCAATTTCACAACATTTGTATTTATTTCAATATATGACTTATAAGAGAACAGTTCTACAAATGTGTGAAATAAGACAAGTTTCATAATAAGTTTGTTTACAAATTATAACAGAAAATCATGCAGAACAAATAAATTACTCTTCGAATGAGTAAAAATGAATCCTTCCTGGCTGTTCTACAGTAAGAACTGTAGTGTGGAACTACAAACTGACTACCAGAATGAGTAGAAAATAACGATTCACTGAATATTTTTTGACAGAAATTATAAAAGACAACATCTTCAGATGCTACCTTTTCTCTATTCCCCCATATTCGATACTCCAAAGATAGTGCTCACATTTGCTTCCGGACCCCAGGAATATGTCATAGCACAATTGAAGGCAAGGGCTCTAGCTATTTGAATAGTCCCAGGTAAAAAAAACACCTGACTAATCGCTAGCTAGGCGGACAGTTGTTCTTTTAAGATTACAGAGGATCGACACCAGACTTCAAAGCCAGTCAATGTTACCCTTACACCTCTGTTACACCTTCGAGAGGTTCTTTTGATGTACATCAAAGGATTGCACAGTGAGCCTTCGATTTTGCTATTTTTCAATTTCTTTTTTTTCCCCAAATGCAACAGATAGCATATAGGAGTTACAATATACATGTACATACAAGTAAATATTACAATCCATTTATGTAAGATGGCGGAGAACATAGAGTAAAATACAAGATGACATCATAGCAATGTTGTCAACATACAAAAGAAAATATATAATCATTGTCAGTGGCACAAAGCTATGACATAGTCAAGGGGTGCAGAGAGCAAACGTGAGTGTAACCTATGGAGTACATTTTTGTATCGAAGATGCTATTTGATCCCCATGCATAGATGAATGGCTCTGTTTCTCCCTATACATCACCCAGGATAGGAATCATTGCGTAGACTGGCTGTAGTGCATAAATATTGCTACCTTAAACAGTCAGAAAATAATACTTAATTTGCACATTTTTTCAATATCAACATACATTTGTACTTGCCAACCTTTTAAAATTTCCATGGGGGAGATTACACATACACCCTAGGGCAATAGTGACTTTTAAATTGCATCTTTTGAGCTGTTCTTTCAGATGAAATACTTAGATCTTAGAAAATAGGAATAGTTTAGCATATTCACTAGTTGAAAATGCTCAATGTTAGGGTCCAAAATAGGGAGTTGACAAGTATGTATCAATAGTGTCTACCTATCATATGTAGGTATGGAATATAAGGAAATTCCTAATGTCTTGGCAGAAAATATTCTTCTGTTGTGCGACACTATGGGTTTACCCAATAGTTAACTTAATTAATTAATGTGATTAATTTATGTTAGATTCATCCTATATTTGGATTGTAAGTTGTGCGCTAGTCAAGGCCAGTAATGTGTCAGGTGACAGTAGTCTAAAGGGTATATGTAATACGTAGAGTAATTATAGTCACATATGTATGTACCAAATGTCTATGGTGACAGGTTTATAGGTATGACGACAGATGATGGCTGTAGGCAATGAGATAACATATGTACTGAAAAACGTATTTAACGGGATGCATCCCATATTCAGAGGGTCAGGCATCAGCCATGAGAAGGACAGGTCAATTTGGACCCAGGTTCAGACAGACAGAGTATGGGGAGTGTGGCCATGGTTTGGCACAGGCCTAGTTACTTAGCACGAAGTCAGAGACACAACGTAAAGTATAACCATATGTATATGAAATGTTGTAACCACCTGTACCTGTACTTGTAATGAGATTGTTGATAAACGTCTATGAATAAACAATACTATTATCAACTGTTACGTGTGTTTACGGCTGCTGTGTTACAGTTGACCAAAATGACAACTTAAGTTACATGTAAAGATGACACATGTCACATACACGAATACTGACGTTTTAAGACAACAAGAATTCCATGTAAGTAGATGTGCCGACACCATAACTTATAGACCAATAGCTGTTAGAATTACCCAAATCCAATATCTAATGAGAATGGGGTATTTATGAAACCGTTGTTTTGGTATTCACATCCTCATGCCTAAAAACCAAATACTATGTTTATTTTCCATATTCTGACAAGTGACAGATTTTCTTTTAGATTGGTTTATTACATAATTACATATATAGGATCTTAAATGAGTTTTCTTTTCATATGAGATTTTATGAAACAAATCTTGCAAAAATAAAAACTTCTAGACGAGTTTCATAAAAACTCGTATGAAATGAACAAAATTAAGACACTTTTTATCACACAACTCAGAAACTTACATTTTGACAGGTTTTAAAGCCAAAATGTAGAGGGCTTACTTAATCAAACAGAGACAGCCATTTTGTTGCACCATTCACAATTTATGACGTCATATCATTGTCCATATTATGACGTCACAATCGATTTCTGACTGGCACAGCCAATGAAAAACGCTCCAGGGTATATTACACTAGTGACATATGTAAAACTATTACACAGGCAAATTCACTGGATAACAGGCCAATTACAAGTATGTGATAAAAGAGGGTACCTGGCATGTGAAAAATTATATTTTGCTTAAAAATTTCATCCAAATATTGAAATTTCAGTTAAATACTCATCAACATCTAAAATTGAAATTAATCCCTGAACTTTTCCATTGCTCTGTTTTAGTACTAGATGCACAGTTTTTTAATATCACATATCTAACATTTAAGACTGGGTGTGTTTCTTGGTCCGACATCAAATAAATTTGAAACAGAAACGAACAACAGGATTAATGTTGTTGTAGGGTTTGTGTTGTCCAGTTTAAGGCAAATATTAGATAGTTTCGACCTGAGTGTCAGTTTTTGAAGCCTTCAGCTGGACATCTGCTAGCTCTACAATTCTACTGAGCAGACTATCAATCAGGTCAAATGTGTTGATTGCTGATTCTACAATCTGTATCTGCTGACTGCGTGGGACCTTAGGCATGGGCATTCCTGCCACGCTGATGTTGACACCTAGCTCCATTCCTTTATCTACTGATGCTTTCCCTTCCTTAAAGTTCTCTAATTCTAATTTGTAATGACTCTTTGAAAAATCTAGGGCAAGTCTCAGAGGAGCGAAGAAGTCTTTCTCCAGGTCCTCATAGTACGACCATAACCCTGTTCTGTTGGCCGAGAGAGGATCCCGGAGAACTAGGTATCGAATCAAATTTAGTGCAGGAATGACACGGTCTGATGATTCCAGTAGATCAGACTCTGCTCCTTCTTCAAGTTGTGCCACAAACTTTAACATCCTTTTAAGGTTTAAACCAAGGAATTCTGTGTCTGGGTTTTCTTGTTTCAATGCAGTGTCTATCTCGTCTTTCACTAGCTGAATGCTGTACCCAATCACCCCTGCATGTTTACATGTGTTAAAAATCATCTCGTATATGTGAACACGGGCTGGCAGTGTGAACATTTTAATGTAGGTAGAAAACATCTGAACCGCCTGTCCCCTGGTCTCCTTTACAGGACAACGGATCATGACTTGGATGAGACAGTTCAGGGCCTTTGTGTAGTTAGGGTTGTCTAGGTCCTCCACCGTGAATGTGGTTGGAGTTATTCCACGGATAAGGACACCAATGAGACTTACACCCTTACTGACAATCAGGGACTCCTGTTTCTGAAACAGCAGTAACACAAACTGTAAATTGAACTCAAGAATGTACTTGTGGGTGTAAATGGCAGGGAAGTGTTCCTGCCCTAACCCCTCCACCAGCAACAGATAAGACAGGCAGGCCAGGCTGGGCAGGGGTATCAGACCTTCATCCTTGCACTCCGCCCAGTTATCCACAATATCTGTCTCATCATCCTCCCCCTCCTTCTTCTTGTCAACAGTCCTTTTATTTTTCAGCTTTGACAGTCGTATATCTTCCAGGCAATCTGTGATTGTCTTGAAAAAGTTAGGACAAAGTTCACAAAGAAGCTTCATGGTTTTTTCTACACACTCCCGGGCATATCCTTTAGCTTTCCTTTCCTGCTCCTTTTCACAGAAGGCCAGATCCAGAAAGATTAGAGGATGGTTAAGCAACAAAAGGAGATATCTCCTTAACATCAGTATCTGGTGCTTGTCTTTCTGTCTATTTACATTTGGGTCATTCAGGGACACTTCTAATACAAAAGGTTCCAGAAAGGCCAAGTAGCCTAGCAACACATCAGTGATTCGTTGGACTGCAGGATCCAGTTCCAGTAGCTTGTTTTCCTCCCCCTCCAACTCATGGTCGTCTGGTTCTGGCAGACTTTTAACATGTGCGTGGATTGTGGACAAGGCAATGTCCAGAGAGTGGTATCTCTTGGAGGGCAGCTTCAGGAGAGTCTGCTGTATGCCATCTAGAAGAGCTTTCCACTTGACATCATCGATGAAGGTGTCTGCCTGCTCCAGCAATGCTAACAGCAGTTCTTTTGCATTCCCCGTCCTGATCAGATAGTTCAGACATCTCTGACAAGAATCAAAGAACACAGTATACTTTTCATAATTTTCAGCTGTTAGGTGCTTGGTAAGTTCTGTGGCAACCTCCCAGTATATAGACTGGTCAGACAACTTTTCCTCTAGGATAAGGGTTTTCAAACCTTTCGAGTCATAGAATTTCAGACTTTCTTTGATGAGACACAGTGTTTCCTCTGCAGCCTTTGCCTGGTCATCGATACAAACAGGACTATCCATCATGTCCTCACTCTCTGCCATTTTGTTTTTCAATCCCTTCTAATCAGTAAGTTGCATCCTCAATATATTTTCACACTGCAAGAAGAAATGAAAGAACCTTGCTGGATGCGATATTTACAGTGAACATATTTGTATCAATACAAGAAAAGAAATAATTTTAATCACATGTGCATACAAAGCTATTACTGAAGCCCATTACAATGAAAGTATGTTATTTTGATTATAAAAGGTGTTTTTTTGTCTTCAATTTTCAGTTCATTCTATTAATTTTCTTTCAATAAAAAAAGTTGGAAATCCCTTAAGATTTCAGTTTTAAGAAACTGAAAGCAAAACATAGAAGAATGTTTGTAAATATATATAAACGCATCTCAGCAAAATTGTTTCATCTCAATATTTTACTTAACATATATTATGATTTCCTGCTTGGACTAATTAAGATACTAAAACATCATCATACTGCTCTTTGTGAAACAAAATTCAAGCTGATCCTTAAAAATTTGCTTGAGGACATTGTTACATGTCAACATCAGAAACAAGAAAGCGACGAAATAAACAAAATATAATATAATCAACAACAGTTTACCCGAGCGTAAAATTTCTGCGGGAATAGATCAGGATTCGAACCCTGGACTTAAATTGTTATACATGTACTATCGCATAAACTGATAGAGCTACCTGGTCAACAGAAGTGTCCTGGCTCGACGTTAACTGTGCTGTATACAGCTATAGGCAATTGGAAGTAAGGGGAGGTAACTGTAAATAGGAGTTGGACAGGGTCCTTAACAACTCCTTTAACATCAAATATCATGTCAAACAGCATATTGTATCACAAAACAGAACTTGAGTAATTTTTCCCTTAATCTTGTTCACACTATGGGGTTGTTTTGCCCTATTTCCAGTTGCTAATGGTTGTTTCACTCTAATTTGTATGAATTTTTTATTTATACTTATATTCATTCCAATCATTTGCATCAAATATCACCCAACTTAGGCCTTCATTAGCCTTTTAATTTCACAAATAATTTTTTTTAAAGTTACAAATATATTGAATGCATCACAGTTTAACTTTATACAAAAACAATTTATGCATCAAACATATATGTCGCAATGTTTCAAGATGGACTGACCCTCTATCAAGCCCTTGTGGGCTAAGGAGACAGTACCCAACTTGGATCACCAAACCATCATTTTATAAAATCATTGGAAAATCTGAGGAGTAATTATATTCATTTATAGTTGTATCAAAAGAAGGATATCAATGGGTGTTCTTACAATCGAAATTAGCACCCGGGGCTCACTTGAGATATTTATAGAACGCTCTGAAGTCACCAATCAGCGTCTCCGTTTTTTCGCGAATGTTGGGACCCAAATCGGATCAAAACTTGAACGTTTGCAGTATCTTACGCTTCAAATGAATATTTTTTTGTCAGCATATTAACATTTTATGATGACCTTTAAAGTTTATGTGACAAAAAGTATTTCTATAATGTGAATTTATCATTATAGTCCAAAACTTAATGCATAGTTGTCGCATGCACCATTTTTTAAAAACGTAATCAAATCACTGACATTTGAGTTTGAATTACATTTTTCTTGTGCTATTTGAACTTAAAAACAAATCATCTGTAGACAAAAAATGGTGCGTGGCTATCTATTCTAAGATTACATCATTGTTATAACTGATTTGCCGACACATTTATTGATTTATAAGTAATTTTGGAAAAAGTGATCCGATTTGGGTACTGATCCGATTTGGGTACTGCCACCTTACAATATACACACTGATTAAATTTAATGTTGTTAATGATTAAACAATCCGATCACAGGAGTCTGACGTTTAATTAATATATGTTTAACAGTCTATATATAAAAAAATACCCCGTATACTATAAAAAAAAACATACGGGGCATTTTTTTATATATATAGACTGTTATACATATATTAATTAAACGTCAGACTCCTGTGGATCCGATTGACCATACCAGGTCCAGTACACTCTGCCGATTGAGCTATATAGCTATAAAGACCTATATAGCTATATACACCTATAAATTATAGCTGTATTGAGCTATATTTTCTCAGATTTCAAATTTCATTAAATTAAAGCGAAGTCGCATAAAACAATAAGGTTAATGGTAATGTTCACTACAAAAAGCATACAGTTAGATGTTTATTTTCATTTTTCATAAATGTAAAATTTCCGATTTCTTTACATCATTTTTTTAAAAAAAGAATACTTATATTTAATGTCTTTTGTTATCAACCTTATGATACAATCTTCTTTTAAATGCAACTTTGTTCCATTTTCCTTAAAAAAGAAAATCACTTGAAAATAGCTCAAAAGACCTATTTCAGATAGGTCAATAGAGCTATTATAGGTCTTTACAGCTATATAGCTCAATCGGCAGAGTGTACTGGACCTGCATACATGATTATAATAAGAAGACTATCTGCCAAACACTTGAAAACTTATTTACCATTCGAATATTTCGGAAAATTATTCGCGAAAGGTTAGGATTTATTATGAATTTGGATTTATTGTCCTTCTTTATGCCAAATTATGGTGCAGGGGCTCCATCAATAGTGATGATAATCATTATGCCCTTTGATTGTTGATTCACTCACTCTCCTTCTTTTTTTAAAGAGTGTCGATAGCATTTTACAAAGAATTTAACTGACAGGTAAACCCTGCTTTTTTCACATTTTCTGTTACTGTCCATTACATTGTTACCTTATTCCAGGGTGGTTATAAACTTATATATAATTTAGTAACTGTTACAAGGTGTTTTTCTCAGTATTTCATCACTTAACATGATGTCACAAAAACGTACAAATGCAAACGTGCGAACTTAAGTTTTTTACATTAACCGATAACAATTTAGTATTTTTAGACTTAAATGTCAACAACTAGCACTGAATCACTTACATAAACTCGAAATTACAGCCCGGCATCTTCCGCACGGTGCAGCCATTTTTCTAAATCAGTTTGTAGTGTATGAGCATGAAAAGTAACGAGAATCCCCGAAAACTTAGTAGAGGTTAATCGAAATACTGGCGCGTTCGTATACAAATTATTTCGCGCCATAAGTTAGATACGACACCGTTCTTCTTCTTCTTCTGTAATTTGCGACAGAACTCAGGTATATGAGTGTGATTGTCGCAATGCAGTTGTCAGTTGAGGTGGTATTTGGGTAATGAAAAATTAAATGTAAAGCAAAAACAAACCTTGTTTAGAGACAATGCATGGTAAACAAGTTTCGGACAAAAATGTAAACAACGATTCGGACGACGAGAGTGATCTCCCTTCTACCGCTAAATTTTCGAAATTACCATCTGCTAAGAACTCTTAATCACTTCCGATGTTTTAAACAAATGGGACTACATTTTTTACATTTAAATGCCCGACCCATTTTTCCTAAAATCAGTGAACTCCAAATAGTAGCTAACCATTCCAGAGCAGCGATTTTATCTATAACCGAAACCTGGCTGGTTAGCTCAGTGACTAACTCTGAAATTAACATTGAGGGATATAAAGTAGTCAGAAAAGACAGGAAAAGGACAGGGGGCGGAGTTTGCATACCATCTGGCGTTTACAACTCTGAATCTGGACGATAATGAATCGGATGAAACTCTTTTTATCGAAATGCACTTGCCTAAAACCAAACCCATCATTGTTGGCACCTGCTACAGACCACCGAAACAATCTGATTTTATTGAACAGTTTGAAAAAATATTGCTGCATCTAAGAGCAGACTGCGAAATTATTATTCTTAGAGACTTCAATATTTGCTGCCTTGATAAGCAAGGACCGTTATATCAATCTTATTCCAAGGTTTTGAAATTGTTCAATTATAACCAAATTATTATGCATGCTACACGGTTAACAGAAACCAGCAAATCACTCATTGATCACATTATCTGTAACAATAAAGAACGCATTAGTCAGTCAGGTGTTATCCCTATTGGTATCAGTGACCATTTATTTAACATACTGTACCAGAAAAACCAGCAAAGGTGTTTTTAACAGGGACAATAATGTAACTATACGTTCAACCAAAAACTATGACAAAAATGTATTTGTTAAGAAATTAGCTGAATCCAACTGGGAAGATTTTTTTAATGGTAAAGAGGTAAACGAGTCATGAACCACTTTTTGTAATACATTTATGATGGTACTTGATGAAGTTGCACCTGTGAAAGAGGTTCGCAATAAACAAAGAACAGAACCATGCATTGATGTCTGCTGAAATTTTGGATCTTATCAAGCAGAGAGATTTATTTTTACTTACATTTAAAAAGTCAGAATAAACTGTAGATTACAAAACTTTCTGCTATTACAGAAATTTAGTTCAAAGGAATTGTAAAAAAGCCAAGGTTGATTATTTTAATGAACAAATATCTGAAAATAAGAACAACTCTAGAAATCTATGGAATTTTTTTAAAAAACTTGGCTATGAAAATGATACAAAATCTGATGCAAAAGTCGTACTTAACATAAACAACAAAAAATGCCATGATGTATTTTCTATTGCCAATTATTTTAACTTATATTTTACAACTATTGCTGCTAAACTTGTGGAAAGACTGCCAAGCTGTAAGGGAATTTACAATACTACTTCTTGTGTATTTAGAGGCTTTTACTCAAAGAGAAAACCCAGTAAAGTTAAGTTTCATTTGAAACATATTAGTGAATCATTTGTGTATAAAGAACTTTGCAATCTTAAAACTGCTAAAAGTACATGCCTGGATGGCATCCCTGCTCGCTTTCTTAAAGATGCAGCATCAATATTAAAAATTCCAATTACTTTTCTGATAAATACATCTATATCTGAGGGTCAAGTCCCTGAAGCAATGAAAATGGCAAAAGTAAAACCTCTATTCAAAAAATGTGACAGATTAAAGGCTGAAAACTATCGACCAGTCAGTATTCTCTGCATTGTAAAAATTTGAGAAGGCAGTATGCAAACAACTGGAAACATACCTTATCTCGAATAATTTATTATATGAACACCAATCAGGATTTAGAACATCTCATTCAACTGATTCTTGCCTCATCCATCTTGTAGACTATATTAAATCCCAGACAGCTAAAGGTCTTTTTACAGGCATGGTACTTTTAGATTTACAAAAAGCATTCGATACAGTTGACCATGATATTCTTTGTGAACAACTTAAATGTATGGGTATTGAGTCTATTGCATGGTTTAAATCCTATCTCATGCAAAGAAAACAAGTTGTTCATGTTAACAAAACAAATTCCAACACTGAAGAGGTAAACTGTGTGGTACCCCAGGGTATTATACTAGGCCCACTTTTATCTTTAACGTATGTTAATGACATGCAGATAAGTATCGACTCTGAGTGCAAACTCCTACTATATGCAGATGATAGTGCTAAATTTTTTTTACACAAAGACCCAAACATAATATCGGATAAATTATCAAAAACACTGGAATCCTGCCACGATTGTCTTGTAGATAATAAACTTTCACTTCATCTTGGGAAAACAGAAAGTGTCCTTTTTGGTCCTAAAGGAAAATTGAGAAATTGAACTTCCAATTGTTTTAATATTAAATGCAATGGACATGCTATTGAGTCCAAACCACATGTAAAATATTTGGGTGTAATCTTAGACCAGTTTCTTTCAGGACAACATATTGTGAACAATGCAATACAGAAAATTAATCAGAGACTATTTTTTTATACCGAACCAGAAAAAGTCTATCTCTGTCATCAAGAAAAACACTCTGCTCGGCACTTATCCAATGTCATTTTGACTATGCTTGCTCATCTTGGTACGAGGGTATATCCAAAAATCTTAAACACAAACTTCAAGTTACACAAAACAAGGTTGTTCGTTTTATTTTGGATTTAGATTGAAGGAAAAGAATAACTTTTGCAGAACTGGAAAAATTAAATATGTTGAATGTAAGTAATAGAGTGTCTCAACTGAGATTAAACCACGTTTTTAAAATATTTCATGAAAAATGTCCAGCTTATATGAAGGAAGGTTTTGAAAGGAACAACAAGAGGTTTACAAGATCAAGCCAATATAATTTTTATATATATAATATAAGTGGGGTAGAGTCCACATCTTTTTCTTATAATGCAATAAAGAACTGGAATGCATTACCAGAAAATATTAAGGCAACCAAGAACTTACATAGGTTCAAATTCTGGCCAAACAACATTTGACATCAAACTTTAGATCAGAACAAAAATGTGATTTTGTGAAAGGGTAATGGTGAGACTTCAGTGATATACTCTATTACTTCTTAATTCAAATATACATTTGACTTAAATCCTATTTCCATTCCATTTTTCATGTTGTGTCAATTTTTTATTAGTATAAGTTATATACCAGTACATATACCTACATATAATCAATTATATACATTTCGAATACACTATTTCTGGCTCTGTAAGGGAGAGAGTTCCTAAAGGTGGACAGAGTTAATATGACCATCACCGAATCAGAACTTTTTCCAAATACAGCTCAGTCGGAGTGTATTTTACTATATAATAGGTAAATTATCTTCAAACTATTATTATCCCCCCATCCCCCCGTACGTTAATGTCTGAGAGTATGGTCGGTAGGGATTGGCCCAACCACCAGCCCTTTGGCAGGTAACATTTTAAGTTAATACTATATTATCTTTTATTGTTAAAATTCCAATATATTGTTACTCTCTTCATATTTTATATCATTCCATTACCAGCATTATTTTATTGATTATAGCCTATGGCACATGTAACATTTTATATCTATTTTTTATAAAAGAAGTGTCTTAAGAGTCTTATCAAATTATCAATATATACTATATAATTATGTAACTATTTTATGAATGGAATTGATTTATTTAGATCTAAGGGACCCCATTGGAATTAAGCCACAATGTGGCTTTATGGGTCATCCAAGGTAAAGGCCTAAATTAATCTAATCCAAACCAGTTTTAACACCTGACTGACTTCTAATCTTATGGCATGAATAACTTATTTAAGATGATCTCATTCTGTGATAATATATATATATTTATGTCCAATCTGCAAAATGTGATAGAAGTGTATTATTTGCCTTTTACCTGAATAAATATTATTATTATTATTATTAAGTTCAATGAATGGGTAGTAGCCATAACACATATATCAGGGAAGAGGGAGAGGGGAATAAAAATAGAATTGGGAAGGGATTATTGAAGTCTTGATTGACAAAGTTCAAGTATATTGCTCAAAATCTTAAATACAATTGCAAAACGGAACGGTTGTTCTTATTTATGTTTTCGAAAAATGCCAAAGAAAAGAGGCCCATGCTAAAATACCACCACGAGGTTATATTGGAAGGCACAGCAGCAGCTAGGTGCCAGATTGTGTAATAGATAGGGAAAATACTAAAATTCATTAATAATTTAACTTATAACGTGAAATGAAGTGAACAGCCGACCAGCACGACGATTCAAAATGGCGGACATCCCTCCATGCGAGACCTACTCTGTGTCGTGTCCTAAGATAGCACAACATAAATTGGCATCATAAGGTTCAAGCTACATCGTTTTAAGATATTTTGACTTTTGGACATGACATCGCTAGCGAAGGAAAAGCTCCAGTGAAAATAGCTGCACGACATATTCGGAACGCGTCTTTTCTAAATGATGAACAATCGCAATAAAACTTGTCAAAAATATATCTAAATATTCCGATATTCCCAGAATCAACATTGTATGCTGTACGAAAAAATCCATCATGGCGTCCAATCAAACCGCGGGAAACCAAATTTGAGCAGTAGACTGATGCAATTTGACTTTCTACCCTCATGAGTCAGAACAAAAAAGACCTCTCCGCTCAACAGAGAAAATTTTCACATCACACAGATCAGTCACAAAACCGATTCTTATCTCCGACGGTTAAGGTTTCATCCTTAGGAACGCCTTCCTACATAATAACCCAAAACGAGAGATTCCAAAGTGAAATTTGGTGCACCTCCGGAGCTAACTCAGAACTTCTGCTAGGAGTTCTGAGATAACGTATCCACAATAGCATCAAGAGGAAAAGACATATATTACAGTATATTTCTGGGCAGGAACCTGCTATTTCACCGACAAGAAAAATCGTAAGCTACAGCTCAAATGTTGGGTCAACAGCGCAGTAGAGTGTGTCAAAAGATCTCTCAGAGAGGTAAGTCGAACAGTCAACAGTTTTGAGGGACCAAGAGTAAAATTTATTGAATGCCCACAATATTCTATAGCAACATGGAATAGGTCAAAATGTTTCACAACAGATGACGACTTGGACAAAGAACAAGACCATGAATTAAACAGACAAATCTCAGAACTTGATAATATTATCAGATTGGAAAATGTATGGTGTAAATTAAGACTACAAAACAAGAACAATTTATCTACAGAAGCCCGCACAGTGACCTAGAAAACTCAACAAACTTGCTAATCAAAATTAAAGAAGCCTGTGACAGATCGAATCAAGTCATTATTATGGGTGATTTCAACTACAAGTTCAAGCATTGGGACAGAACCCAATGCATTCATCACCTGAGTAAACGTTCAACAATATAGGCAAAAGTGAGGTCTTTCCAAGTAAGGCGCTAGGAAAGAAAAGGGTAGTTAGAAGTAGAAAAACATATATAGATCCAAAAGATTGCAGTGTGTGCAGCAGATTTATTTTGGTCGTTTTTGTGTTTCGAAGAAGAGGACACAAAAGCAAAACCCCAATTCTGCAGGGGTTCCACATGTGTCGCCTCTTATGATACATGCAGGTGTATTCTTTTCTTGATCCCCGCCCTGCTGTGGATAGGAGGACACCCCGACACTACGTGTTACCCTGTGGATGGGGATCAATATTTGCATCTGATCAAAATCTGTAGATAACAGGATACTCGACACTACGTGTTACCCTGTGGAAGGGGATCACTATTTGGATTTGATTAAGATCTGTGGATAAGAGGACACCCCGACACTACATGTTACTCCGGTATCGGCGATTTATATTTAGGTCTGATTTAATTACGTCAATAAGGAGACATCCCGACACTACGTGTTACTCTATGGACGGGGATCAATATTTGGATCTAATCTAAATCTGTGGATCCAACACTACCTGTTACTCTGTGGATGGTATTTCAGTGGGATAGCACTATAAATTCGGCAACAGATCCGCGCTATCACAAGGCGGCAAATAAACAAACATACACTGTCTCCGACACACATAAACACATGCAGGCATAAACAACACACATGGAAATACGTCCTTAAATTGTCTAAGCTGTTACTAAGATGCCAAATCCTGTACATTGATTCCCGTCCACAGAGTAACACATAGTGTCTGGGTATCTCCTTAACGTCGGACGCAAATAAATTCACCGTCAACAGAGTAAAAACGTAGTGTAAGTTGTTCCTCTTTACAACATAGTTACATCAAACGCAAATATTGATCGCTGCCGAGAGATAACGATCAGAGACACTGAAGTCCAACACTAACATGTTACGCGGGGTTGTCCCCTTATCATAAGTGTTACATCAAACAAGTATTTGGTATCTTTCCAGTGATAACGAGTTTTATATTTATCACAGATTTATCACATTCTTTATAATATCACGTTATTCTAGCACTGGCTGCCTCGATAAACTTCATAGTGTGATTTTAATGTTATCTTTTAACACACGTAAACTATAAATATTTGCTCACTTTTTAAAGGATGTACAGTTTTTGCAGTACGAGTTCTTCAACATATACAGCACTCACTACTTAGAAGAACGCAAATAAGGCGAACCCAATAAATAATTTTCAAACCATACTTTTAATTATACTTTATAATACGTCAAATATCAAAAGTAATTTTCAGAATTGCTTTAGTTGATAATCGGGAGTTTACATAACAGCATAAAATAATTATGATTTCAGACAATATCGGAATCGAATTTAGACAAGCAGAACAAGAAGAGACAGGAAATGATCAACCATAAAAAGAAAAGTAATCATGACAAAACATCCATGATTTGTTTTGTTTTGTTTTTATATTGTTTAACAGAGAAGGTCATTTAAGGACGTGCCCCCATGTGGGTTGTGTAAGCATGCATGAGTGTATGTGTTCCAGAGAAAGGATATGTTGGTGTATTTGTGCCTCCTTGTGATATCGCGAATCTGATGACGACTGTATAAAACATCTTTGCATATTGGCTGTATCTACGAAAACTAGGATAATGTTTCAAAATTTGTCAACTTAAATACAGTTTTAAAGCATTATTGACTTTTTTCCATGCTAGAGCAAAGCAAATTTTAATTTAGGATATAACCACCAAACCACGATGTCTTTCTCAATTAATTGATATTCAGTGTTTTATTTTGTGTCATTCAGGGTCAGGGATTAATGTTCTTGCGCCAGCCAAGGCAATATGAAGACAGATGCCTAAGGTGATGATATCACTGAAAGAACGTGAAAGTACCAAGTATTGCAATGTGGACAGCAGCAGAAAAAAATGTTTTATTAAATGTTCCCTAAGCAGATTGTTGGCAGTTATATTGATGTAGATGGTCATGTGGCAGTGGAAGTTGGCTCTACACTCAAGGTTACGCTACCCTCTTTGACTTACGATAATCATGAAGAAAACAACTTTTTCTTTTCATCTAAGTTTGAAAACACAATGCACTCATTCACGTTGACAGCGTTTTCTACTCGATCGAACAATATCTCTCTATTTTTGTACAGATTAGCTCGTAGTATAAGGATGTGAAGACTTCATTGTTAGGCTTTCTACACAGACGACAACATCAACTTCTTTGTCGGAAGAGTAACAACATTTTCCCCATTTCAGTTTCCCTCGCAGACGCAAAAGCTTTTTGTTTACCTTATTGCATCAGTAGATTTACTCCTTGGAAAAAAATGAATCTGAGAGTATATGTCTTAATCCGGCGAACCGCGCCATTGTCGATCGTAATCTTCAGTTATAAAACGTTTCAGAAACGACTCCAACATGATTTTGGAGGTAAGAATCCGTTGAAAATGAAAGTAATAACGAAAGAAACGGTTCAAAAGGAAAATAAAAATAAAAATAAATCCCCCTACAGCATCGGAGTTGGTTTATTCCTTATCTTTTGTATTGGGGACAATAAGATACAATTGCAGTACCCTACTACCTGTGTATCATAAAAGGCTACTTATGTGGCCCCTGTAGAATCGGGGGATTCCTTAGTGTCTTCTACATAGAGGAAATAAAATAGACTAAAATTGGCCTGCTGCCCCCATTGTAACACTTGGGATACTTTTATTCCTGCCTTCGTTCTTATCTATCTACTTTCTCCTTTTTTTCTTTCCGGTGGTGTCTCCCTAGGCACCCGTCCTCAGATGACTGGCTGCAGGGAGGACGCTCAGCCACTGAACTCAGTCACATTGTGAAGGGGTGACATCGTTTTTCTCTTACCTGAATAGGTGGATCCCCACTTTCATCGGTGTGAGAGTAATATAATCTTTCATCCACTCTTGCGTGAGACAGGGGGATCTGAACCCGAGGGGGAAGTTTCTTAAAAGGATTCCCAGTCATTAAAATTGCATGACGTCACGTCAACAATACACTGAGCCTGTAATGTCAACATGCCATTATATAATCATATATAACATGATCAACAAGATAATAAAAAAAATCATTCACCTCTCCTGTTTGGCAACTGAAGAACCCATTGGGTGAAGATTCTCCTATCTCACCCCGAAAGTGGATATTCTATGAATCCAGTTACAGCTGCATAGATCAGACTCTTTATCCACCCACAACAACATAACATCGGCCCTACACTGTTATTCTTCTGTATAATTCCATGGATTTCCACCAAGAGAATAACCGAGTAATTTCATTGGTTGAGTGTAGACACTAATTTAATGGAAACAATAAAAGTAGATTGTCAGATGGCCTATCATGTGTATAAAGCATAATCGTTGTGTTTATAAATATATACTGTTTTATAAATATTTATGATAATAATTTAAAAGAAACAAAAAAAGTAGATTATCAGACGGCCTATCATCTGAATGAAGCATCTCATGTGAGCGTCAAGTCAATATTCAGAGCAACCGGCCTTTACCACGAATTGAAGTAAACTACGTGATATGTGTATACTTGACATGTGACTGAACTACCTGTAACTTGAGCATGGGCTACTGATTATCTGGTGTATATAAGTCCACTGTGTTAGTTAGTCCTCTAGGTCCACCATGATGAGGGTACACACACTGGTGCTAAGTGTCCTGACAATAATCGCATTGTCACAGTGTTCACAGATCCGCTATGACGGGTAAGATAATAAGTTTGTACAATATATATAACAAGATGAAATAAATTCATATAATACATTCAACTGTATTTAGGCTATATCTAATTGTGATATTTATTATATCATCACGCGTTGTTGTTTTATATGCTCTGGAATCACTGTTACGGTTTGTAAACCCTGCTGTGTTTTTACCGGGTAAAGCTATTTTGCAGTATTTTGTTTAGAAATTAGTGTGTTGGTACATGTTTGGCGGTCTGCTAGTACGTTCGAGTCATATCGTTCATGTTCTCAACTTTGCTGAACCTTCAAACACCGCCAAAGTACACAAATATGAAAAGATTTACATCGTATATAAAATGTGAACTCAACATCACTCTTGTTTTAATTTATTTGTATTATTTTGCAGCATATCATTTAAAGTCATTTTTTGCCAACAATCCTAAAGAAAAATGAAAAACATTTAAACCAGATAGATAAATGGTAAAGATGCACTTAGGTAACTTTCCGAGGTGTCAATACTGGACATATGTAATATGCATTGTAAAATTGGACATAACGCAAACTACGTCAACCCGTAATAACATGTCTATAATGTATCTTTTTTCAAATCTGCAAGATGTTTTTTGCATTTTGTGAATTGTATCAAATTGCAACTTTGTGCAGACATAAATGCACAATGGGGCCCACGATTGTTGAATCGCACGATTTGTGCGCACGATGGTTTTTGTGCGTTGTGCTGTCACACATTGTTTAAAATTTACTCGCCACGTTTCAAAAGTAAGCTAGCTTAAGAAAAATTCGAGATATATAACGATGGTTATATTTTCTGGTAGTGATCGTGTATCCCCTAATATTAGTCAAAATATGAAGGCGTCTCTTTCAGAGTATAGTGACGCCTGTTCATGTGCCTGCTTCATCATTACAGCATTTAGTATTCTATTTTAAAAACCTCGTGCAGGAAATATTAACTTGTAATAAAAAAGTGGATAATACCTATTTATGACAAATGATCACATTTTTGCAGTTGGTACTATGGTATAAGATACTCAACACATGATTAAAAAATATCCCGTTTTGGGTACAGTGACGTTACATTGTATCTAAAGGTAAAGATCAATTAAATATAAATACTTGTATATTAATGTTACAGACGGTTTCTAACGAGCTGTGCAAAGATGTTATTTCATAAAATTTATCACGCACTTGCTTTATATTGACACGGTAAATTACGAAATGTTTGATAAAGAGAGGTCGACCGCATGCCTGACAATTAGGCTAATCTTATATTCGTAAAATGTAAATGTGCATATTATACACTGATGTCAGATAAAACGGGGATCAGAATATAAGGTGAATATAGGGAATTCCGTGTATAGGGAAATCTTTGTACAGGGTAAGAATTGTTGAGAAAAAACTTTGCACAAGAAATTTTTGTATAGTTAATCTTTATATAAGGAACTATTAACAGGGAAACCTTCGAAGAGGATAATCATTGCATAGAGATATCTTTGTACAGGAAATTCTTGTATAGGGGACTTTTTATGGAGGAAAATCGTTGTAAATCTTTGCATAGTGACATCATTGTGTTATTGTACAGGAAAGTGATTTTATGGCATGATCAATCTGCATTGAATATTACGTGGGCGGCTGTAGGTTACCACAGGAGGCGACTTAAATGGGGCATCATGCAGCATCGTGTATTTTCCTATGTGTCTTCTGCTTAGGGAAGATCGAGGAAACCAAAGTTGATTTCAACCCCGATTGTAACACTTGTACCCAAGAAAGCGTTCCTATTTAATCACCCAAACCTCATGTATCTCTATTGGTTGGTTTGTTAGATGTATAGGGTTTAACGCCCAATAAACAGCCAAGGTCAATTAAGGACGGACCTCCATGTGTGTTGTGTACGTTAAAGAAGCATATTGGAAGGTGATCATATATTCACAATTACATGAGTTGGTGGATTCATACTACTGATAATTGTGAGATGGTTAAATACATTTTGTCACAAAACCAGTCATGTTATCAGATACATTTTTATCTTTGTCAGAATTGTGATAATAAGCGTTGATATCATAGTAGTCTAGTAAACCAGGTCGATTTCGCTTAACCCGTTTGAAACGGTTAAGGTGACTAAGGGTTATTTCGCGATAAATGAACGTACTTGGAACGGAACAGTGTCGATCATTTAGACAGAGCTAAAAGGCTGTATGAAAAATGTGGTGTTTTGGCCACGTATGCTTATGGGCGAATTGGTATAGTTATTAGGAGTTTAAGCATATTGCACACTGTTCGATTCACTATGAAAGTGAAATACATGTAATAAGGGCCTGCTTAGCGTACAGCTCTTTACAAAAATCCTCAACGAGAAGACATAGGCTCCCGATTTCAATGACGTTTCAGAGGAAACTCAAATCTGTAGGTCACGTGTCTCATTGACTCGTTTCTAAAGGACAGGATAGATTTGTAAGGACTTAAATGGCTAAAAAACCGTTCTACCAAGACTGCTATACGTAACAATGTTGAACGACTTTTTTCATTGTTAATGTAGCTACAAGGTGGTGAGGGTTGTTCCACAGAAGGTTGAGCACTTGTTGGCCCTCAAAGCATTGCAGGGACAGCAGGGTCATGACAGGGTAAGTCAGATATTCCTCTATGCATCATATGAATATGAACATTATATGGAACATTGTGTTTTTTTATCCGTCCTGTATTCAACCATTCTCGAGTGACACTTAGAAATCAGCTGATTAACCAAAATATAACCCATGACCATTTTAATATAAACACATTACTTCATGGATGTCATGAATGTGATGAAGAAATCAATGCATTTGTACTACAATGTATATCAGAGTACATAATCAGGTCTAAAAGATTTGTTTAATCATAACCATATCTGGTACGGTGGGGACATGGAGATACACTATATGAAATATGAATTGTTTATATGTTTGTTTGATGATTTCAATGACTGTACATGTAACATACCGAAGTTGTAAGGAGAAGGCTTATATAGGCTTTGCCTGATGCCCTATCCCTTTGCATATTTGTTTGCAATAAACTTTGTTGAAATGAATATGAAATGGAATATGACAAAATATGAATGGATGAAATATTAAAATAACAGCAAACAAGTCAAGATATAATAAGTACAATTTGATCAAACTATCGCGGCTTTTATTTGTTTGAGAACATCAGGATTTTCACTTGGGAAACAAGGTAAGGAAGGTTTGTAGGTCGATGAAGAGAGTAAAAATAAATTAAACATTTAACTTTACCGTACTGCCGTTTCGTCATTTACTCTACTAACGTCAACAGGTTTTATTGTTTTCTCTCACTTTTATTTCTATTTGCAAATAGTCTTTTGACCATATGCTGTTTATAATGCAGGTTGACTTCTGGATTGAGCCTCGTCAGGTCGGCGTACCTGTGGACCTGAGCCTATCCCCAGCGGTATTCCAGCATTTGTTTTCTTCCTTCACTCTGTGGGGAATGCATCCCGTGGTCATTCTAAACAACGTTCAGGAGACGATAGATGCCCAGAGACCCGCCCCTATTGAGGCAGAGGCTGACTTCAATTACGAAGATTATCATGAACTTAGCGAGGTATAATGTTTTCCTGTCTGTTGTTTTTATTAACATTTCGTCTCCATTGTAACCACTCTACTAAAATAACATCTGCTCTTTTCGTCATTGAAATCCTCTTTTATGATTGGCTGGTTTTTACGGTATACATTCACAGTTATGAGGAGTATTGCCTTGCAGAACAAAAGAGTTTGCACAGAAACATTTCTTTTCATACTGAACAAACCCTTTTGTACGGTATATCGACAGATAGTGTTTTGTTTTGACTTTGCGCGTTATTCGTTTCGCCTATGCTGGTAAACGTCATACAGCAGGACGTTAATATAAAACACAAGATTATTATTTAAGTGTTTCCTCTCCGACTTTTATCCTGTTTAATGAGATATCTTTGTTTCTGATTTAAATATATTACCGAAATTATATTAACGTCAAGGAAATATCTAAAATAGTTAAGAGATATGGTCAGGGCGTTCCAATATAAAGTCTCATGCTTGTTTATTGTAGTTAACGTTTGCTGTTTTGCAGGTTGTTTCCTCGAATATACAAATGCTGTTATGTAGAGTTTACTATATCGAGTTATAATTAAGTCCCCCCAAACGAATATTTATTTTCTTCTTCTTCCGGTTCTTCCGCCATAAAAGTTTCTGACACATTTTTAAAAAACTATTCGACGGAAATTAATGAAACTTTACACAAGTGTTCATCATGGTAAGGGAGTGTGCAAATTACCTTTCATTTTCCGATCGGTAAACCAAGATGGCCGCCACGGCCTCTGATTGGTCGAAATTAAATATTGGTCGATTTTGCTCAAATTTGGTATGCAAGTGTATTATTGTATCTTTACGACTATGGGAGCAGTTCGGGGGCCTTCTGTAATGGTCCCACATTACAATTAGTACTTGTTGAATGCTTATAATGCAACAGAAAATCGTAATTCGAACTATGATATTGGAATTCCTGGTTTATGATGGTTTTCAAACTAAACCAAATTTAATAATATTTTTGTTGCGTTTGGTCGCAAGATTTCAGGACGTTTAAAGGCATTAATACTTGAACAAGCTGTGACCTTCTGGCAAACTTGTTTTTTGTACACATACTAGGCTGAGTTTAGTGAAGAGCTAATCGTGGCAAGTAATATAAAATGCAATTTGATGAAGACTTTTGACAAGTTTTATGGTCGCTGTCATAATCTCATAATGAACTATGCTATATTTTCTATATGTCATATGAAGGTCGATGTTTTTGATTGTGCGCATTAGTGTGCATTGTTGTTTTCATGTCACCTATCCTTTTTTCGATATGATGACGCAATAAATCAGAGAGGCCTCAAAGACTCGCACGATCAGGTATTAAACAGACCTACTCGACTTCGATTTGATATTGCCAACATTTTACACCTTTGAGTAACTACGCTTCACTGGTCATTTGTCTGATGAAGATGACGGAGTACGTTTCGTACTTGTCACCGAAACATCACAAATAGACATTTCACTGGTTGTGATACCTTTAATTTTCGTTTTCCTTTATAAGATTGAGTTGTCACTAATCATTGTGTTTATAATTCATTCCTATAATAAATTTCCTTTTGTAAGATCGAAGCATGGATGAAGAACATCACTGATGTTTACAGCGATAAAGCTTCATTGTTCGAAATAACGAAATCCTACGAGGGTCGAACCATCAGGGGCATCAAGGTAATGTTCTCTTAATCTGTCACCGCATCCTACATATTCTACATATATGACAAAGTGCAACGCAGTTAGTTATATCAATTAACATTCGGACTTTATTTTAAGGATTATAACGCGGTTTTATTCAAAGTCTTTAACAATGGTAGTTTCTACTCCTGCTTAACGCTCAGCAAGTTAGGAGTGGGACGACTGGTTCGCCCGTTGTCAGTATAATGTGACCGGGTGGGGCGTCCTGCTGGGTGTCTTCGGCAGTATGTTTCAGTGGGGTAGCACTATAAAGTCGGCATCAGTTCCGCGCTATCACAAGGAGACAAACACGAACATATCGCAGCCTCCCAAAATACACACACATACACTACACGCATGCATCTTGCACACAGGGGAGGCCGTCCTTAAATGACCTTAGCTGTTAATAGGACGTTAAACAAAATCAAACAAACAAACAAACAAATTCTTCAAATACATATTCTATTCTCTGTAATGTTGATTGTCAATGTAATCATCATAACATAATTCGTAAATCAGCAAAACTTGTGTTTACCAGGGAGCCTAACCTACACAATCACTGATACGATTGGTTGAGGATGGGGTCGGCTGTTTAAATGCCAAAGATAGTTATTAAGAATTATGATTGTTCATGGAAAACGAGTCCTGCTTCAATTTCAACAGATTTTATTGACTTTATATATGTCAATTGGATTGGACATCAGGCCAGGCCTATTTAAGTCCTTTCCAAACTTATTTACAAACATTACATATATTTTGTCATAACAATCCAATTAAACAGTGCAGGGGAGGTAACTCCAATTTAGCTTGTGAAATGAACATTTTTCAACTTTTATTCAATCATTTTCTGTTTATGTTTTGGATATTATTAACAATTAAATAAATCATGTACATTTGTTGACATAAAATCCAAAGGATACAGGCCCAAAAGTTATTGTGTATAAACACATTGGCCATCCACCCACTGGATATATAGGATAAGTTACCAAGAAATAAGCATTTTGTAAAATTGCAGAATATGATATGGATTCATATAGGAAAATGTAGTTATTATTATCTATTCTTGAAGTATACAGATATTGGAGTTAAGTCCTGCTTCCTGAACTGGTCAGTAAGAATATGAATAATCTTTAGCTATCCGGTACATCGTACATAGTATTTCATTGAAGTAGCATTCAATATCGGCATCCGATCCGTGATAACCCAAGGAGGTTAACATATCAACATACCGCCTCAGTCATACACACATACATTATACACATGGGATACGGCCTTAAATTCATTTCGCTCTGGACAGGACACTTCATCCTAAATACACAACCAATGAACTCAATATGTTTTAATGTACAGTTATTGCGTTAAATTTCAATTTAATTCAAATATTTTTTTTTCAAAATTAACGTTTCTGATTCTAATGATGATACATTTTGAATTTCAATCTTTTTTGACTAAAAATATCGTTACAATTTTGCAACGGTTTAATTATAACAAAAGTACAGTCATGAAGTTAATCTAAGTGGTAAATCTAAATGTAGATCAGCAGCAAGAGTAGCCCTACTCCCAGGCCGGCATTCTGGATGGAAGGCGGTATCCACGGACGGGAGTGGATATCACCAGCTACTGTTATTTACATGACGGGGCAGGTAAGTGTTTAGCTTTCTCCGACACGTTATGAAATTGCGCCAAGCAAATTATGTCCACATTTTGTACATGGTGCCAAACAATTTCTGTCAACGTTTTATATGTGTGACTCATAGTCGACAACATTAATACATGACGCAAGACTGATATCCGGCAACTGTTATAGATGGCGTTGCAGGTTTTTATCAACGTCTTTAACATGCCATGACATATACATGTACATAGAAAAGAGTAAGCTCTGCCCGAGACTGATGTCTATCACTGTTCCATACATGGCGCCAAACAGACATCATTTCAGAATATATTATTGTACTGATCTTATGTACAAAAGGAATTGGGCAGCAGGTATAGCCTAAATAAGCCCTCTCCTTACAAAACATAACAGTATACACATATCATATCAATGTTACTTTTACAGATCTTTATTTAAGTATTAAAATAAGATATTATTTGTACTTTGAATTTGATTTGACAATACATATTTCAAATATCGCAATTGTTGTAAGAGAGATTATTTTACAAAGCTATTTGAGAATCTAATAAAAACGTCTGGTGTCTTTAATGTAATTCTGAACCGTCTCCACAATATTTATATTCATATTTTCGTCTCGTGATTGAAAACCATAAATAAAAGTTTGGGTATTGAGTGGAATAGCATCACTCATCGCTGACAGAAAGTTAAGTAATATTAGTGTTTGGTAAGTATAAAAAGAACGCTGCAGGAAAAAACGATCACGATCTTCGAAGACATCTGTTCATGTTTTAATCGCTATACAGATATCGGACAACGTTTTATATATTGTCAATAGACTATTATCTGACAACGTTTATTCATAGCACGACTGATATCCGTTTGTTGTTCATATAGTATAAAAGTTCAATGAGGTCCAAATATCATCATGGATCGAACATTAATAGGAAATAAATGCCATGTATATTATAATCTATGATCTGCAGAGTCTGACAAATCACGAGGCGCGTTTGCAGATAGTACTGTTGGAGCAAATAACAATATAATGTTCAATGCCTGTTTTTGTAAATGTGGTAAGAACTCTTCAAAGTAATTGGCCATCATTTCGTTATTGGAACAATTAATATATCTTGTCATAGTGTTGGTAAACGTCATACTTTATAGTTAGGAGATAAATATAACTTACCTTTTTGATGCAGATGCTGGACGAATACGATAAAGATGCTGATATGAAGGAATTTGTAGACAGCTATGACTGGTATATACTCCCGGTTTTCAATGTGGACGGCTATGATCGTACCTGGAATGGGGTACAGTTGTAAATATATTTACTGCTTTATGGAAACGAACCTGGAATGGGGTACTGTTATAAATATATTTACTGCTTTATGGAAACGAACCTGGAATAGGTTACCGTTATAAATATATTTACTGCTTTATTGAAACGAACCTTGAATGGGGTACTGTTATAAATATATTTACTGCTTTATTGAAACGAACCTTGAATGGGGTACTGTAATAAATATATTTACTGCTTTATGGAAACGAACCTGGAATAGGGTACTGTTATAAATATATTTACTGCTCTACGGTAACGAACCTGGAATGGGGTACTGTTATAAATATATTTACTGCTTTATGAAAACGAACCTGGAATGGGGTACTGTTATAAATATATTTACTTCTCTATGGTAACGAACCTGGGATGGGGTACTGTTATAAATATATTTACTGCTCTATGGTAACGAACCTGGGATGGAGTATTGTTATCAATATATTTACTGCTCTATGGTAACGAACCTGGAAGGGGGTACTGTTATAAATATATTTTCTGCTCTATGGTAACGAACCTGGGATGGGGTACCGTTATAAATATATTTACTGCTTTATGGTAACGAACCTGGAATAGGGCAGTGTCATATATGTAAATACTGCTTTATGGTAACGAACCTGGAATGGGGTACAAATAATTCTTTTTGTTGATACAACCTTTCAGAGTTCTATTTACATTTAGCATATCATGGATGATGTTGAAAAGTGGTTAAATCACAAGTGTTTACTTATATAATTTTAATGACTGTGCAATGATAAAATTATTATAGGACCGGATGTGGAGGAAGACTGTGTCCAAACACGGGATATGTATAGGTGTTGATCCAAACCGGAACTGGGATTTCCATTGGTGTGGTAAGTCCGTGGTATAAGATGACAAAATCGTTTCGATTTGTATGTATTTGTACTTAAGTAATGAAAAATATACCTTTCGTTACCGATATGGGACAAGTAACACATCTCTCTCCCTCGACCTAAGGATGGCAACGCAAAAACACTTAAGTCGAGTATTTGCACGTGTTCACAATAGATTAAATGATTGACAGCTTGACAAAGTGTTTCTGTTTTGACGCTACATAAGTTCAAACATCTAGAAAAGCTACGTTACGACGACGTTGACATGATAATGGTAGGTAATATTGCGCTAAAAGGAACTACTTTTACATTATCTTTTGCAATTTAACTGCCAAAAAAATTTCCAATTGGTTATTCATTCTCCCATTTAATCGGTATATTGTACTATAAAGGCCTGTATGTACATAACAATGAGCATTTTTGAGAAGACTACATCTGACATATAATTTAACAGGGAAAATAATATTACAAGGTTGGCCTTCACCCTCAAGGAAGTGTGCATGAATAATATATATCTATACCGTTCTCATTCGGGCCAAACAGTTCCTTAGTTTGTTCACCCCTGCAGGTCGGGGATCAAGAAAATAATACACCTGCTGTTACCCACTGCATTACCGTAAGAAATCCCCTACAGAATTGGGGATTTGCTTTAGAGTCCCTATTTTGGGGCACAAAAGCGATCAAATATAATCTGCTGCACTTATTGCGATATTTGGGATCTATATATTTCTATCTCCTTCTAACTGTCTTTCTTTCCCTAGCACCTTGCTTGGCAACACCACAATTTTGGCTTGAAAGCTGAACGCTCGCCCATGTGAGGAAGACAATGGGCTCTGTCCCCAGGCAAAGACATACCAAAGTCCTTTAACATGGTAGTAATTTTTCTTTGCTTAGCGTTCAGCATTTAGGGGAATAGCAACAACTGGTTCACTCATTGTCAGTATAATGTGAACGTGCGGGGTGCTGTGCTGGGTGCCTTCGGCACGGTATTTCAGTGGGAGAGCACTATAAAGTCGGCATCAGATCCGCGCTATTACAAGGAGGCAATTACACCTACATATCAATGATCAAATCGATATTTTTATTCAGAATATGTCGCCTTTTTATTGACAGAGAATGGAGCTAGCAAAGATCCGTGTTCAGACCTTTATTGCGGCCCATCTGCATTCTCCGAGGTAGAGGTCAAAGGAGTTGCGACTTATATCGAGGGTATCAAAGAGAACCTCAAAGGTTTTATCGACTTCCACAGCTTTGCCGAGATTTGGATGACTCCTTGGGGATACACAACGGAACTGCCTAAGGATTTCAAGGAACTGGTATGTTTGACGTTTTACCAAGTCTAATTTCCCAGGTACTTTTCTCAGTTAATGATGTCGCTTGTTATGTTTTGGTTTCTCCTCCATGTTTATACGCCCGTCAAACATTGTGACGGGATATATTATAGTATCGGAAGAGTTTGACCGTCCACACTTTGGTTTCCGCATCATAACTTGCTTTAGCATCGTTCGATTTTGATGAAACTAAACGATATACAGAGACTGAGTCTAAATCGCTTAAAGAGCAAAATCCACGCATAATTAATAAGCGTTATTGTATTTTGATTGTTCAACGTCTTCATTTTGGTTATGCAATGGTAAGACTTTCGATATTGAGAAAACTGTGCAAGTCTTAAAAATATGCACAAACCGAGGCTAAGTGCAAAGTTAGGGAACAAATGCAGGCATAATTGATTAGCATACTGCGCTATGATAGTTTGGCGGTTTCTGCACAATAGTGACAATTACGCGACATCTACCAGTAATTAATTAACAATCAGGAATATTTTGGTTTAAATGGAATAAGATGAATCGAATATTTGCAAAAAAGGGGAAATTCCTAATTCTATATTCATGGTTTGCGAATATTTTTTTTAAAGATATACTGTTTTTACTCACCTGTTCACATACATGTAGTATACATTTACCATTACTCTCGCTGTAGGATGCAGGAGCAGTGGCTGCATGCAACGCATTAGAGGCAGTCCATGGGACAAAGTACGATCACGGCAGTGTCGCTAACATTCTCGGTGAGTACAGCATTGTTACATATACAGCTTGACAAAACGTTTAACTTCAGTTGCACCTAAGAGTTTCCAGCAACTAACAAACATTTCCAATGTATTCAACAAACTTTCCTAAACAAGTATCCATGCCTCACTATTTATCCAACAATACCTTACTGTATAACCTACCAGGCATTTCCTTGAATCAATGTCGTTTGCAGGATGACCAAACTGCTTGGTAGTGAAGCGGACGTAAAACCACTATAACAAACAAACAAAAATAGTCTCTGTTTTAGACGAAACATTCATGTTTAAATACCGATTTTTTTCTTATATCCAACAAAATCCTTACTACCGTGATAACCACATATCGAACAAATCTTATTCTACTCTGACATGCACTCAATAACCATCTGTGAAGTGGAGTTATCATCTCAAAACCTGGCCATAAAACGTGACACGTTTCCGTGACGTCAACAATAATGCATGTTGGCGGGGTTATGCAAAATATGAGTGACGTCATTAACATTGGATGGTTTCAGAGTTTATCAAGGCGTATGCCAAAAGCACTCTTATGAAAATGAAATGTGTATCCTTTTTCTCTAAACATGTTTTTTTGGGTTGGTGAGTATGCATTGTAGAAAAGTTATGCATCACAACCAGTGAGTGAGGTTTTGATGACTAGTGTGTACTGTCACCTTCATCAGACACATTACCAGTGAGGCGTATGAACTCAAAGGTGTAAAATGTGTACAAGAAGGCAAGATAAAATTGACGTCGATTAAGATACGCTGTAAGCGTATTACAGTTAGTTGTAATACATGGGCGAAATGCTGAATCCAACCGACAATTAAAATTCGAATTTTCAGGAAGGAGCAACACCAGCTGCCTACTTAGAGTGAAAGTCTAACTTACGGAAAATATATGTTGACGATATACTAGATATCGTAAACAAAGGGTCACAGAACGACTTGATTGACCAACAATATCAACACCGTTGATGCCATAAACAGCATCAAATTCACAAGAAGAAATAAACGGCACGATGCCCTTCAAATACATCCTACTTATAAAGGGAGATGGCGCACTGTAAACGGTAAAAGTATTGATCTTTAGAAAAAAAGACCCATACGATACAATATCTGAATTCCAAATAACAATATCCTTTGTATAAGAATAAGTCGTAGTAATAAAGTTGATCAACAGATGGAATACAACTAGACAAAATACAAGTGCAGATTTATATTGCCTGTGGAATGAAAACGTCGATATCCGGATTGGACCCTCGAAAAGATGCCAAAAAAGTGTAAAAATAAAGGAAAGAACCTGAAAAGGCCAATCAAGGATAAGAACAAAATGAAAGATCAGGTCGTAACCCATTTAATAGAAGGAATATCCGAAACTATCCAGAAGATACATCGCGGCCATTACATAGATCCAGCAATGAAGCTCGTCAAGACGCTTCGCAATATCCTTGTACAACCTCTAAAGCAAACGTAGCAGAATTGGTGTAAAGAAATGGATTTTAGGAACTTTGACGCTTCCTTTATCAGAGAAACTGGCAGTGGATTTGGAGTCTGACTTAGTGAACACAAACAAGATACGGAAACACAAGAGGGAAAAGAATTTCAACAGATCTGCAAAGAAAGCTGTCAGAGTCCCTTATCAATAAATCGGCAACCACAGACCATGCACTGCAGCACAATTATATTATGGGATGGGATAACTAAACATATTGGACAAAGAGCAATATGTTCAAGTCAGGGAGAGCCATATTAATACGCCGCAGTGAGCCAGTTCTGAACCGAGATGAGGGGGCTCATACATTGACTGTGACACATCTATACCAGGTATTAAACAAAGCTAAGCCGAATTATAAATATAGCGTATCTGAATCGACGTCGTTTTATATTGCCTACTCGTGCATATTTTACACCTTTTTGTTCATACACTTCACTGGTCATTTGCCTGATGAAGGTTACAGGGTATGCATCGTACTAATCAAAACGTCACACATAAACACTAGTTGTGGTACACTTCCTTTCTACGATACGAAATTTGTATCCGCTGATCAGACTAATAAAACCAAATACTATGTTGCATTCACAGAATAGCACACTGTAAATGGAAGGAATAGTTGTATATTTTGGTCAGGTTATGAACTTCAGTTGAGCACGGGTAAATTGATTATAGATTCGCCATCTATTCAATTGACACATGCTAAGCGAGAGTTATCACCTCATAAGCTGACTGAAATAATAAATTTATAATAATAATTCGAGTTTATATACCGCTTTATCACAACCTAGTTCGTAAGTCGTCTCTAAGTGGTTCACAAATTATGATCCGTGGTTATAGGGCCTTTTCAACCAGCCAATATCTTTCTCCACTCCCTGGGAGCATACATCCGGTGCTGCCATTTCGGCGCTCACAGCTAGCATTCTACAATTCTAGCACTGCCTACCACGTTCTCATTTGCATCTGAGTAGACTGGAACAAGCGGAGTACAGTATCTTGCTCAAAGATACAACACGGTTTTTAAAGAACAGTGAAATAAAACACTGTTCCTTAGAAAAAACTGCATAATTAGATAATCAGACATTGTAGATTAATATCTACGTTAGTGGGAGTATAGCATATATACTTCGTGGTTGTGCTCTGTTTGTAGATGAGGATGGTGGGGGTATATTATATATACTACGTGGTTGTGCTCTGTTTGTAGATGAGGACAGTGGGAGTATATTATATATACTACGTGGTTGTGTTCTGTTTGAAGATGAGGATTGTTGGAGTATATCATATATACTACGTGGTTGTGCTCTGTTTGTAGATGAGGATGGTGGGAGTATATTATATATACTACGTGGTTGTGCTCTGTTTGTAGATGAGGACGGTGGGAGTATATTATATATACTACGTGGTTGTGTTCTGTTTGAAGATGAGGACGGTGGGAGTATATTGATTATACATGTACCAAGTATTTGTGTACTTTGTAGATGTATCCAGTGGGAGCAGTGCGGACTGGACATATGGAGCTGTGGGAGTCAAGTATTCGTATGGTGTGGAGCTGAGGGACAAGGGTCAGTACGGTTTCCTACTACCGGCGGACCAGATCCTTCCTTCTGGGCAGGAGACTCTCCAAGCTATTATAGCGCTGACTAAATTCATCACTAACAATCCATAGTACTCCCTTGACTGTATGAAAATTATCCGGCGAAAATAATGTTTTCCATGAGAACAAATCTAGACCCAGGCTCCCATACTTGCTGTGAGGCTGACTTATCGTTTTCTAGAATAAGTTACTTACAACTTATGTAACTGGACTATTGATATATTTATTTAGATAGACAACACGACAAACACAAGTATATGAAACTTCTGAGATTATAACCTTACTCTATGTCATGTTAAACTTTTCTCCTATTCAAACTGCTGTGGATCTTACTACGTTTAATCCACTGGATCGATCGAATCCACATGGGATGATGTCAAAATAATTTTGTGTGTGGTTTCTGTTATGGGAGAAATAACATGTATAAAAGTTGATATGATCAAGATATGTATTTCAACAACTCCTTTGTCTTAATATATTGAACAAATATAAATCAGAATCAATCATCACTCTTTGGATATCATGTACTACTAATTGTTGGCAAGAAATTATTACTTGATACAGATGATTAATTGAATTGTTATGATAGTAGCCATATATTTTACCTTTCGCTGAATAAATGTTATTGATCTGACAATTGTGTGGTTTTAGTAAAACATTTAAATGTAACATCATAACACTAACGACACCAATTTACATAAGTTTTAACGGATTTAGGCACGAAATTTACGTCTTTTTTAAAAACAAACTGACTCATTACAGTTATTCCGTCTTTGCGTATTGCAGTTATCTGCTCTTGTGAACAGGTGTTGATTGTTACGTCATTTGTTTGTGAAAATAACGTCATCAATTTTTGAGAAAACGACGTAATTTTCTCACACAAAGTAATGACGTAACAATCAATACTTGATCTCAAAAGAGAAGATAACTCTGCAATTCGCAAAGACTGAATATGAAAAGCAACGCGGTTTCTAACAGACATGAAGGTATGCATCGTTACTTATTTTAAGGCTACCGGTGATAAACTCTTGTTAAATTTATTTTTTTATTATTTTAAGTCATTTAGGGTAGCCCAATCACATGACTGAGATTTCAATGTGCTGAACGGTCACGTTATACTGTTACGTCAAAATCGACCGTTGTTTGGACCAACCCATATAAACAACACGATGCGTGCCTTATTGTTCACACCTGCCGATATAGTTATTACCTTGTGGATTATTAAGAGTGAAATTCTCTTTGTGAACAACAGATAATAGATTACGCCCTACTCCGTCTTTTCGTATTGCAGAGTTATCTGCCCTTGTGAACAGGGATTGATTGTTACGTCATTTGTTTGTGAGAGTAACGTCATCAAGTTTTGAGAAAACGACGTAATTTCTCACAGAAACCAATGACGTAACAATCAATACCTGCTCACAAGAGAAGATAACTCTGCAATACGCAAAGACGGAATACATATGAGACAATGAGAGTACGGGAATCAGACCATGTTGACGGGAATCGACATCAGATTAAGATGATTCAGACATCAACGAAGAGGAAACCAGCAGAAGGGACGCCTTCTGACTGTAGCATATTTAGAGTTAATATAATGACTCTTCATTAAGTGAAAGTGATATCATTCTTTCTGTATTATAATGACAAGCAATGTGTAATATTCCTAAAAACAATGGTTTTACAACTTTTTAACTTTACTTGTCCGACTTAACAGTAAGATACATAATATATATAGAAGAATACAACGTCCGGACAATATTTTATGAACCTCTATCATGTCGCCACGTGATCTTCTATATGCTAGTGTTGGGCTTTTAGTTTTTCTAATCGCTCCTTATGGGATAAGTCTTTTAGGCCAGGTACCTGCATCTTCGCTCCGCGTTAAACATTTTCTATTGTTTCAATGCGTTTTTCAAGATGAGGGCACCACACCTGATTCGCGTATTCAATGTGAAGTCTAACTAAAGATGTGTTTAGCAACATAAAATCTCCAAGTTTACAAACATGTATATACCATTGATCTTCGTAGAGCTCCCATAATGGAATTAGCTTTATTTACCTTTTCAATTAAATGTTTATCAAATAATAATTTATTGTCTACGATGAAACCGATATATTTTTTGAATTCCAAAGTTTCTGCATTTTCCTTAAGTGTGTACTTCTTTTGATTAACATTAGAGTGTCCCACGCGCATCACTTTGCATTTGACTGGATGGAAACGAAGATGCCAAGCCTCTGACGACTTTTGGATAAAAAGCATATCCTTTTGTAAAATCTTACAATCCAGTTCATCATTGATTGCCCTAAATGCTTTCGTATCAACTGCAAAAAGGAATGTATTCGTTTTGGGACTTATTAGAACAGGCATGGCATTCATATACGTTAAAAACAAATAATCCTAAAACCGATCCTTGTTGTATGCCACTTATTACATAGTTCCATTCCGACTTTTCTCAATTCACGACGATATTCCATATTTTGCTAGTTTATGGATTAGGTGTTGATGGGACACTTTATCAAATGCTTTCATAATATATTGGAATAGAAACAATGTTTTGTGTTGACAGTAGAGGAAGAGACACAAGCTACCCAAACAACACACTTGCGCGCATTTCATTCAGTACAACAGACTAAACCTCAACGGTATACAGAAAGGTGCATCGGTGGCGTTGAATACATTAACCACCGTAAAACAGGCTATTGGAGAACTTGGGTAACACATCCACACAACAATTAAAAACCTGCAAAATAAAGATGTAAACAACTGACTATTAAGTATTTAACGTTTGCTGTAGCTTGAGTTACATGAAACTGTTGTTCTGAAAAGAATATTCTGTTCGACGTGCAGCCAGACACGCACACAAACAAATAATTCCACCCGTTCCTCTCCGTCTGTGTCTAAATAGTGTTCCAATTATACGAAAGATCTTCAGAATGTGAATACTGTGCTTCACATGTATCCTGTATTTACGAATTGTCCGATTTAAACGTCTAAGTCTATTTTGCCTTGCCTTGATACAAATTTGGAGGTAAATCAAGCGTCCATCCCTTTCCAATTGGAAACGTGTGTCATTGTTGTTTCCTACAACTCATTATTCTACATGACGAGTTTTAATTGGTTGTCAATGATGACCTGAAGACGGATGTAGTGGTACCGACGATGTCAACTGAAGTAAAGATGTTGATCCTCCTGGGGGATATAGATCTCGTGAGACGTGCCGTCAATGACTTTTGGTTTGGTTTTTATTTTGTTTAACGTCCTATTAACAGCTAAGGTCATTTAAGGACGTGCCTCCGTGTGTTTTGTGTAAGCGTACATGTGTGTATGTGTTCTGGAGACAGAGTATGTTGGTGTAACTGCCTCCTTGTGATAGCACGAATCTGATGACGACTTTATAGCGCTATGTCACTGAAATACCATCCACAGCGTCACACGTAGTGTTGGGGTCTCCTCTTATCCAAAGATTTTAATCCTATCCAAATAGTGATCCCCGTCCACAGAGTAACACGTAGTTTCGGGGTGTCCTCTTATCCGCATATCTTAATCAGATCTAAATATTAATCCCGTCCACACCGTAACACGTAGTGCCGGGGTGTCTCACTGAAATCCCATGCCGACGGCACCCAGCACAGCATTCCGCGGGTGAATCAGTCATCACTGCGAAAGAAAGAGTGATAGAAGTTGTAATTGATTGACACGTAGCGTTCAAAGTGTTTTTGATCAGTAACGACTTCCAACATGAATTGGCAACCGTTGCGCCACATTTACTATTCAAAAAAAGAAATGAAGATGTGCAAATACTTTCCCGTGGACACTTCGTCCGTGATAATTGAAGAGTGTCTTTATTTTATGGTGCGTAACCCACGGACATCGTGGGTGTGCTTAAAAGTACTTTAAACTTTCCTCTGTCAATATGAAAGACATCATTGATCTCATTGGCGCCCATAAAGGTAGGAATATGTCCACAACAGAAACCTACATTGCTATGTTTGAAGAAATCGCCGTGAAAGAACTTTTACAAGACACAAAGTTTGAAGCCGAAATTAAGAAACCTGGTTGTCGCCATTGAATTGGGACTAAAAAGCAGCTGATCTTCAACGTATATAATTTTATCATATAACTCCCCTGTTTCGCAGTGAATGCTTCCATTTCATATTTCTGCATATTAATTCATTTTATACGACCTGGAGCGATTTTGATTGGTTGACCGAATTCGATTGGTTGACCGCATCACACTTTCCCACGATAGTAAATAACTCCGCACTACGTCTCGTAGTAAGCATGGCGGGCGCGATATTTCCAGTTGGTTCTAATTGACGGATGACAACACACAGACATACATTTCCAGAATATCATCTAATCCATACAATTCGGGGAGTTTACAAAACGTTCTGAACAACGATACACAGATGGCAACTTACAAAACAACAATGTCAACGTGCGAGCTACGTGGAGCTCCGAGAGTAAATCGGAAACTAGGTTTCATCCAATTTCCATGGAGATGTGCATTCTGTGTTTGGAGGAAACATTTACGGTGGACATTTCAGCATTAACATTTATCAACAATCTCCCATATCACTTCCCAAACCAGTGAAACGACGTAGGATTATCGAATCGGACAGTGATAGACAGTATCCTTGAAGCTGTTGACTTATCCCGCGTAGAGTGACGCTTTGGAATGTCGTGCGCTGTGACGTACGTGGACCATGGGAACTTGTTGCCCTGTTTTGTTAAAAATTGTCTCCAAATTTCAGCTGAACCTCTATATTTGTTCAAACCATTGAAAATATATTATTAAAATAAATATTTATCCATGTTGTTTGAGTGATTTAAAAAATATTGGGACTATTTGTAACAGCGAAGATAGATCTGACCTTCATTTTAATAGTAGTGCTTTGGTCATGTCATCAAAAGTTAGCTGATGAAATGACGGACGTAGAAATTGATTGTTTGAACGAATGTAAGGTCAGTATTTCAGTTATATGATAAAAAGGAACTTGTACTCGTTATCATCAATGTATTCTTTTCTCCACAATATAAGTTAACAGAAGGTAAACGATTTAAAAAAAATAATGTAAAAGCATGATCATTTGTCACCATAGTTGTATAAACCATGGCTCCAGGTTTGTTCGGAATTCCTTTTAAAATAATTTACCGAATTGTGTTACTGTTCACTCAATTTACTCTAGGCCAAATTTAGTCACAATCCACTGATCTTCAATGTTACAATGGGATCAATAGATCAATTTTCGTTTTTTCAATGCAATCCTTAGCAGATGGCATTATCGAAAACCACCGACACTGCAGGCGGTTAAACGTTAGTCGCCTTTATTTAATGTTATCATAACTATCATGCTGCGAGGGTCAGTATATCCCATTGGAATGTTCGGTCGGACTGTCGATTCATATCCTTGATGCCAATTTTGGACGAACGGAAGTAGCACCATGCGGCGGAAATACATCTGTGACGTCATGTGTGATGCCAGGGACTTTAGATATCGTGAAAGGGATCTGCGAGACGGAGTTGTCATCAACTACCGTATTCAATGACCCATGCCCGGGGGTTACAAAGTATCTCTTTGTCACATTCGAGTGTCTCGGGGGTAAGGGATTTTTTTCCTCTAATATACGT